ATCACCCCCTGGGGGAATGGCCACATTACAATCCTTTCTCCTCCATTCTCCTCTGGGGATTTTGGGCATGCACACACACACACACACACACACACATGCCCGGTGTGAGTTTGGGTCTGGAACTCAAATCACAGTCAGCCACATGGGAATCCAATGACATAACCAGTACACTGTCTGCTAGTCCCTGACTTTTTTTAAATTAATAATTACAAGGGCAGGCAGGTGTTGTGGTAGTTGAGGCACTGGACTTCCACATGGCCAACTGTGGTTCAAGTCTTGAACCTGGCGGCTTGCTTTCTCACTTTCTCTTTCTCTCTCTCTCTCTGTCATTTTCTGGTCAAATTAAAAAATAACAAATGGAATTAAATAAAAAATTATTATTTTTAAAAAATTAATAATTAGATAGGGGGCAGCAGGTAATGTAGTGGTTAAGGCATTGAATTCCTACATGTTTGACCACAGTTCAAGTCCCGAATCAGGCAGCTTAAAACTCATGCTGGCCACATGTATGTTTGTGCCCAAAATCTGGAGTGGAGAATCGAGAAGAAAGTGTGGCATGGTCATCCCCCCTGGGGGGGGTGACTTCTCACTTTCTTTCTCTCTATCTCTTAGTCTCTCCAGTGAGCACATAAACCCTGCAGCAAAAACCATGGGGCTAGTTTCTGGCATGGTGATTGAAGCATTGGACTCCCACATGACTGACAGTGGTTCGAGTTCTAGACCTGGTGACTTGCTTTCTCACTTTCCCTCTCTCTATATGTGTGTCTCCAGTCAAATTAAAAAAATAATAATAACAATAAATAAAATTAAGTAAAACAATACTTTTTTTTAAAAAAAAAAAGCAAAACCAAAAAAAAAAAAAAAAATTAATTACAGGATTTAAAGTTTCCAAAATAGAGGCCATGAGGTGGCATGATAGTTAAGGTGAAAAAAAAAAAAAAAAAGAAATTCTTTTACATAGTCAGGGCCATTATTGTGTAGGGGGAAAAAGAACCTCTAAATAATAATGTTCTTGTTGAAGATTTCTTTTTCTTTTTTAAGAGGTTTTTTTTTTTTTCTTTTTGCTATAGGGCGTGTGTGCTCACCGGAAAGACAGAGAGAGACATAGAGACAGAAAGCGAGAAATCCCCTGGGGGAATGGCCATGCCACAACCCCTTCTCCTCCATTCTCCTCTCAGGATCTTGGACACGCATGCACATGCACCCGGCATGAGTTTAAACCACCAGGTTCAAGACTTGAAGCGCAGTCAGCTACATGGGAGTCCAGCAACATAGCCATTACGCCAACTGTTGGTCCCAGTAAAATAATTCTTTTTTTAAAAAAAAACAACAACAAAATTTCCCAAATAACAATGCATTTCCCTTTACCTAAATTAATATTCTGAGCTTACTTAGTGCTTTATTGTAGAGGATAGAAAACCAACATAAATGGGAATTGTGGAAAATGAGCACAGTCCTGAATAAACCCATGAAAGTGTGCAATGCTTGTGAAAAGTGCACAGTGGAAAGGTTGTAAAATGCTGATCCAGGGCAACAGAAATCTTAATGGAATAAGAATTCTTTCTTGGGAACCAGCAGTTAGCGTAATGGCTATATCGCTGGAATCCCACGTAGTCGACCACGGTTCGCATCCCGGACCCGGTGGCTTAAAACTCACGCTGGGCGCATGTGCATGCGTACCCAAGATCCCGAGCGGAGAATGGAGGAGAAGGGATTGCGGCGTGACCATCCGCCCTGTGGGGTGATTTCTCGCTTTCTGTCTCTATGTCTCTCGTGGCGGGCACATGCGCCCTATAGTGGAAAAAAAAACTCTCAAAAAAAAAAAAAACCCAAAAAACAATAAAAACAACTTTGTTTTTGGGACTAGCATAATGGCATAATGGCTATGTTGCTGGACTTCCATGTGGTTGACCACTGTTCAAGTCCCGGACCTGGTGGCTTAAACTCATGCCAGGCATGTGTGTGCGTGCCCAAGATCCCGAGGGGAGAATGGAGGAGAAGGGATTGCACCACTTCTTGTGGGAGGCCTTTTTTCTTCTCTGGTGAGTACATCACCAAAAAAAAAAAAAAAAAAAAGAAATTCTTTTACATAGTCAGGGCCATTATTGTGTAGGGGGAAAAAGAACCTCTAAATAATAATGTTCTTGTTGAAGATTTCTTTTTCTTTTTTAAGAGGTTTTTTTTTTTTTCTTTTTGCTATAGGGCGTGTGTGCTCACCGGAAAGACAGAGAGAGACATAGAGACAGAAAGCGAGAAATCCCCTGGGGGAATGGCCATGCCACAACCCCTTCTCCTCCATTCTCCTCTCAGGATCTTGGACACGCATGCACATGCACCCGGCATGAGTTTAAACCACCAGGTTCAAGACTTGAAGCGCAGTCAGCTACATGGGAGTCCAGCAACATAGCCATTACGCCAACTGTTGGTCCCAGTAAAATAATTCTTTTTTTAAAAAAAAACAACAACAAAATTTCCCAAATAACAATGCATTTCCCTTTACCTAAATTAATATTCTGAGCTTACTTAGTGCTTTATTGTAGAGGATAGAAAACCAACATAAATGGGAATTGTGGAAAATGAGCACAGTCCTGAATAAACCCATGAAAGTGTGCAATGCTTGTGAAAAGTGCACAGTGGAAAGGTTGTAAAATGCTGATCCAGGGCAACAGAAATCTTAATGGAATAAGAATTCTTTCTTGGGAACCAGCAGTTAGCGTAATGGCTATATCGCTGGAATCCCACGTAGTCGACCACGGTTCGCATCCCGGACCCGGTGGCTTAAGCGTGCCCAAGATCCCGAGAATGGAATGGAGGAGAAGGGATTGCGGCGTGACCATCCGCCCTGTGGGGTGATTTCTCGCTTTCTTATGTCTCTCTCTGTCTGTCTGGCGAGCGCATGCGCCCTATAGCGGAAAAAAAAACTCTCAAAAAAAAAAAAAAACCCAAAAAACCAAAAAAACAACCTTGCCAAAAAACAATAAAAACAACTTTGTTTTTGGGACTAGCATAATGGCATAATGGCTATGTTGCTGGACTTCCATGTGGTTGACCACTGTTCAAGTCCCGGACCTGGTGGCTTAAACTCATGCCAGGCATGTGTGTGCGTGCCCAAGATCCCGAGGGGAGAATGGAGGAGAAGGGATTGCAGTGTGGCCATCCCCCCGGGGGGTGATTTCTCCCTTTCTGTCTCTCTGTCTTTCTGGTGAGTGCATGCGCCCTAAAGCAAAAAAAAAAAAAAAAAGGCAAAAAAACAATTTTGTTTTTAAATTGTATAACTAAAATCATGTTTCAAAACAAAGTTGTGTGTGCATGTTAGAGAGAGGAACGAGAGTGTTATGCTAGTTGGTAAAGTGCACCCCTTTAGGCAAGAGTTATAAACGCTTTTTGTGATGGACTAAAACAGGCAATAAAAAAAGTGGTGTATGTTAGGCTAAGATGCATCCCATAGGCCTGCCTCACCCACACCGTAGAGCAGAGGGAACACAAGGATGTGGTTACATTGAACACATTAACACTCTGCTCTGCTTCTGTAACCCGCTAACAGACTGCTGGTCAAGGAACATAGCCACCCTGGCAGCCCTTCCTCCCTCGCAACACCCCTCTCCCCGACGCTTGCAAAGTGTAATGTTTCCTTGTGGTTTTAGTGCTTAAATAAAGCTGTGGATCAGGGGCTGTCATCGTAAATGCTACCTGCCAGTGGCAGGGCGGCAGTCCCTGGCCAGGATGGCGTCTCTGGCAGGAATAAAGGCTCCTAAAACTTTAATTTCTCGGTGGTCTCGGTCTTCATATCTCGCGCCACAACACTTTAAGGAACTGACCTTTAATAACCTCTTAATTTTAACAACCTTGTTTTAAAAAGTTTTCTGGGACCAGCAGATGTCATAATGGTTAGTTATGAGATTCCCACATGTCTGTGGTTCACTTGACTGTGGTTCAAGTCCCTCACCTGGCAGCTTGAAACTCACGTTGGGTGCGTATGTATGCATGTGTGCCCAAAATCCAGGAGAAGGGATTGTGGTGAGGCCAGTCCTCCTAAGGGCTAGGGAGGGATTTGTCTCTTTCTATATCTCTTTGGCGAGCACATGCGCCCTATAGCAAAAATCTCTCCCTTAAAAAAAAAATTGTGTTCTGGGACCAGCAGTTGGCATAATGGCTATGTCGCTGGACTCCCATGAGTCGACCACGGTTCAAGTCCTATGGTGGCTTAAACTCACGCCGGGCACGTGTGCATGCATGACCAAGATCCTGAGAGGAGAAGGGATTGCAGTGTGGCCACCCCTCTGGAGGGTGATTTCTCACTTTCTGTCTGTCTTTCTGGTGAGCACACATGCCCTATGGCAAAAACCCCTCTCAAGAAAAAAAAAAAAAAGTGTTCCAGGGCCAGCAGGTGGCATGGTGGTTAAAGCACTGGATTCCTACATGGCTGACATGGGTTCGAGTCCCTGACCTGGCAGTTTAAAAGTCACATGCATATATATGCATGTGTGTCCCAAATCCCAAAAAGAGAATGGAGAAAAAGGGATTGCAGTGTGGCCATCATCCCCGCCCCCCCCCCAAAAAAAAAATCTTTTTCCATGCACAAGATCTCATTTGATTCCCACAAAAAACCTGGGAATTATCAGGGCAGGTTTCATTAGCTCAGTTGTTTACAAATGCGTAAACAAGCTTACCAAAACTAAGTATCTTGGCTCACATGCTAGTGAGTGGCCTGGACGTTTCAGAGTGAGATCACTTCGAGGAAGGAATTCTATGTATCAACTCTTGTAAATGTAGAGCCTGACACAGTTTAGCACTGAGTATAGGTTACCCGACTTTTGCTCAATGTCCTGCGAGCCTGTTTCGGGAGGCTCTGGGCTTCCACTGTACTTCGAAGCCCACACAAAGCTCAACAACTGAAACTGGCTGACAAGGAGGGAGCCTGGAAGGTTGAGGATGGGATCAGGGGCAGGGATTATTCCCAGGAGAACCAGGAAATCTGAGATGGAGGCAGCAGCTTCTGGAAATGTCAGTGTTTATTAAACATTTAAGGATACTGGGGGATTTGAGAAGAAATATACAGAATGTAGAAAAATCCTAAGAATCCCCTGTGGCCGGAGTGCGACCCCTTTCTCTCCCCCTACTTCGCATTTGCTTTTCCTGCTTGGTTGTTTAAAAGGCTCAGCTGCCCCCTCGCTCCCACCATTTCTATCTCTCTCCTTCCCCAAGACCTTGAGCTCCAGAGTGGTACTCCAAAATGGTCAGGGGCACCAACCCTGCAGCTGAGGTCTGGGGATGGGGCCCCTCTGCTTGGGCTGGCTCTCCTTTAAGGGCGGATGGGGGTGGGGAACTGCAAAAGCCACATGACGTCATTGGTCCTCAGTCATGGGGGTAGGGCAGAGTATGGGCACAGGCAAAGAAAGAAAGAATGGATTAAAAAATAAAAAATAATCAACAACCTAAATAAACCCTGAAGGAGAGTCAGACCCGGGTGTTAGCTGGGAGGACTGAGTTTGGGCTGAGCCACCTGATGGAGCAAAGGGACAGGGGAGGAGAGAGCCCGGGGGACAGGCTGGGGACGGCAGGGGGTGGGAATGCCAGGTGGCCTGGTGTTGAGGCAGGGGGTATCAAGGTCCGTTTCTTCTCGGTGCACGAGGGACAGGCACCAAACACACAGCCCTTGGGCAGCTGAGGGGTAAGATCTGGCTCTGGCTCCCAGGAAGCCAGGGGCGTGACGGTGGGGAGTATAGGGGCTGCAATTTTGGAATGAAACTTACATCTCAAAGGGAGGCAGGGCAGGGCTGGGGAGCAGGGGACAAACACCTAGACAGAGAAAGCAAGCCTAGGGCCCCCTGCTTTGGCAGGGCCTGGGGGGGGTGGTCACTTGTCCGAGTCCAGGCCCATCATGTTCTTGAGGGCGTTCTTGAGGCTGGTTCTGCTGGGGGACTTGACAGCGGGCCGGAGCTCCGAGCTCGGCTCATCCTTCCGTAGCTCCATCTCGATGACCACCACCTGCGGGCCTTTGGCGGCCTCCGCCGCTGCCCCCCGACCCCCCGCCCGGCCCGCTAACCGCTATTTCTTATCCTTGCGAGACTCCCCCAGCCCTTTGGCCTTTTTCTCGCTGGCAGCTCTGGTGCTTCTGCTGTGGTCCAGCATGGCGTACAGCACGGGCGTCTGCGGGAGGGCGCGCACGTCAGGCCCCAGCCCGCCCCGCTGCGGCCCGGCGGCTTCCTCCCCAGGCCCGCGCCCTGCTCACCTGGCGCCCGCGCTTGGACGAGTCTTTCGCAGACTTGTGCAACTTCCCCTTCTCCATGGCGCTGCAGAACAACACGGTGTTGCGGGTTTGACCGCACCAGACCCCCCCCCCCAGCCGATACCACTTCCCCTTCCCTTTGGCCCACAGCCCCGGCCCGGCCTCCGGGTTGGGGGTTCGGGGCCGGGAGCCGGGCCCCGCCCCTTACCTGAGCCGCCTCTGCAGGGCCGCTTGCCGGCGCAGCCAGCAGTACCGAACCAGGTAGAAGAGCAGCAGCAGTAGCAGCACCACCCCGAGGACACCCCCGATCACGGCTCCCAGCACCACCCCATACCTCGTTGGCACTGGGAGGGAAGGGGAGGGGAAGGAAGTGAGCGGGGACCTGTGGCCCGGCACCTATTCCCAAGGGCTGGGGGATGCGGGCGTCCCAGCCAGGGCTGCCTCTGCTCACCCTCCCCGAGCTGAAGGGCCTCAGGCTGGGCTTTTGGCCTTTTCTCCCAGCCTACCTCCTCCCTGGTCCCCTCCCAGAACCCCCATCCTCTGTCCCCAGCACACCTTTTTCAAAGACATAGAGCGTGACCTGAGAGGTCTTGCCCACTATGTCAGGTGGGTTTTTGACGTCACAGGTGAAAGTGCCATTGTCACTGTAGTCTAGGTTGTGTATGACAATGGAGCCATCCTTCCAGCGTGGGTCCCCTACCCACTGGATGCGCTCTTTGAAGGCCCCCACCTCGTCGATGTACGGTTGTCCCTTGGCATAGTGGAATATCTATATGGAATGAGGGGAAGCATGTGAGAGGACCCTGGTGAGAACAGGGTGGGTAAGGAATCAGGGCTGGCGAGGGTAATGCTGAGGGTTCCAAAGATGGCCACTTACCCTGCCTAAACTGGGATTACGGTTCATAGAGGAGTTACCCCTTCTTAGCCCAAGTTTTCTTTTACGCTGTTCTTCGAAGCACCCCTTCTGTTATCCAACCCCTGGGTCCCCCCAGGCACTCACCGAAATGGCATCTCGGCCCCCTTCGGGCTGGTAGCGCCAGGTGAAAGAGATGTCATCTGAGACCCACTCACTGGACCAGAAGGAGCAGTGCAAGGTCACCCGGGAGCCCACAGCACCATGGACCTCCCTGTCCGTGTAAACCACAATGGCCTGGGCAGGGGGCAGCACTGGAAGCACAGAGGGGGAGTCAGACACGCCAGGACACTGAGGAAGTGACATCAATAGGAACGCAAGGCCGGGAGGCCAGAGCAGGGACTGGGACAGGAGCCATCAGTTCCGGGGCCCAGATCTCTCTGGACTAACTGAACGGATGAGCATAAACCCTGGGTCTGTGCAATCTCTGCAGTATGCCTGCAGAGGAGATGAAATCAGCGAAACAGAATGCTTTTGAGGACTTCCAGAAGTTCAGTCCTGTCTCCAAGTCTCACTTTCTCTTTGGGTTAGTATCTAGCTCTTAAGCTAGATGCAGAGTTTAAACTCTTTTTTTTTAAAAAAAGAATTATTTCCTTTATTTTATTTTTCATTACTCTTATTTTTTAATTTGACTAGAGTGAGTCAGAGAGAGAGAGGAAGCGAGAAAGCAAGCCACCAGGTCCAGGACTTGAACCATGGTTAGCTATGTGGGAGTCCAGTGCCTTTAACCACCATGCCATCTGCCAGTCCCGCAAGGTTTAAACCTTAAAAAACTGATGATAAATGATACAAGGAGTACATATTACGCCCGTGTAAACTATTCAAGCAATAAAGATAAACTGTACGTCTACCCTGGTACCCATCCCGACCTTCCTCGCAGTCCCCTCCCAGATTCAATCGCTGCTGTCAGAGTAATGTGTATGCATCTCTGTATCAAAGTCAATAGAAACTCAACTTCAGCTAGGCATGCACTTACAACAGTTGTGTTTTGTGGAGCCGTTTTTTTTTTTTAAAAAAAAAAACACATATTGCATCATATTCTACTTTTTTTGTTTGTTTGCCTTTGCTTAAGAGGGAGTTTCCATGTTGATTCATAGACATCGATCATAACAACTGGGTAGCATTTTATAACAGAGCGAAATCGAATTTCTTGCAGAAAAAAACATAGAGGTGCTGGAATGTAAGTTGCCTTCTCTGGCACAACTGCTGACTCTCTGCTTGCCGTATAGCTTGCTCTTGACGGGGATGTCAGGGAGGGAAGGATTTCAGACCTCTCTCAGAGAAAGGTGGGTGCTGAGCAAGACCCCAGGCCCAGAGCCCAGATGCATGTTTGTGAGCCTTCGGTGGTTCCGCCAGATCACCCTCCTCTTGGTCATTCTGGTGCAGTACCACCCTCAAGAGTCACCCACACAAGATGGCCATTCCTGGGAAACTATGTGTGTGGGTTGGCCCTGGGTAGGGGCAACTGCAGACCCTTTTGTTCCATAGGAGCGGGAGGGGGCACCCAAACAAAGTAGCATTGTCTGCCCAACATTGGGGGCTCATGTGACCCCTACCCCCAGAGTGCCCCAGAGTCCCGAATCTCCCACCTCAGCATGTGATATTGTTTACTCACCTCCTGGGGCTTCTGCTTCAGGGCCTTGGTGGGAACTCCCCTGGGTACAAGGGAGGTTACTCATTGGATCTAACATCTATTCTTTCTGTCGTAACATCAACCCTGGCCCTTCTCAGGCTCTGCCAATGGGTCTCTGAGAGGCACAGGTGCTGAGACAGAACTTTCCCTCCTTGTACTCCAAAATTCTCTCTCCTCATTTCCCTCACCGAACCTTTCTCCAACTCTCTGTTCTTCACATTTATCCAGGGTCCCTCAGAACAGGCCAGTACAGACCAGAAGAGTCTAGGTTCTGGGTTTGGGACTCAAGGAGCTGAGAGCAGAGAACTGCCAGGAACTGTTCAGCTGAACACGGGTTTTTGATTGCCGCCCTCCACAGAGAACCTTGGGCATTCTGGCCTGCCTTCCCTCCTTGCTGCCTGCCTCTCCCCCTTCCAGCTTGTCTACTGCTCAGCCATGGCTCTAGGACTCGGGCGGTTCAGGGATGGGAGGGTCCATTCATGTGATCCTACTTTGACCTTCTCTTGCTCACCCAACTTCTGTCAGGGGCAAGGAAAGTGTTAATCATCGTATGAAAGAAGACAGTTTTAGAGAGACAAGAGTCTAGAATCTTCCAGAAACTCTTTTCAACTTTATGCACCCATATAATAGATAAGGAGACACCAAGAGAAACCAAGGCATCAAGAGACACAGAATCTGAGGAGCTGAGGCCACAAACCTTGGGCCTCCCCTCTTAGGGCCCACTTTCTGACGTTTTGCCTCTGGGATATGAAGGTTGGGAACCTCCTGCACTGCTAGGGAAGACATTAAGAGGAGACCCAGGTGATCAGCCTGCTCCCTGCCATGTTCTAACGCTGCTTCCCCCCAGGTTCGAGAACGGTTGCGGGCATGCTGCTGGTTCTCTCCCTGACTCCAGCTATGCCCACTCAGAGACACTCTCCACATTCTTTCACCTTTCCCTTCACAGAAAGCCTGTCCTGCCTCCCTCCAAATGATGCACACATACATTCCTCTCTCTGGCTATAGTATCACCCTCCGGCTCCTGCTGGCTGTCCTTGTTTGTAGCGAGGACTGCAGCAGAGGCAATGAAGATCCGTGTGAGACAACCTGAGTCCCGGGGCTTCCGGCCTGGGATGCCTCCACTTACCCAAAGAAGAGAAGAACAGCACAGCCAGGACAGGGCTGGGGCTGGACGAGGGAGCCCCTGGAGCCATGGCCGGGGAAGGGGCTAGGGCCCGGAGCGCCTGCGGGGTTGAGAGAGTGGGGGACAGGAACTGAGCGGGGGTTCCTGGAACCTGCTTAAAATCCCCCAGGGCCCCAGCATGAGGGGGCTGTCCTGAACCACTAACCAATTGCAGCCTGGCATGTGCAGTTGAGAGGTGGTGGGGAGCGGGGCAGAGTGCAGGGAGCAGAAGGGGCATTGTATACCCTGGGTGGAGGGGTGGGGGGACACATACCACCCCATACACAGAGGGCTTTGTGTCTCCTGGCCTCCCCCTGCCCCAGGCTGGAATGTTGGAGGGTGGTAAGGGAGAGGGACAGAAAAAGGGACACAGACACACTTCTCCGAGGGATAGATGATGAGAAACCTGAATGTAAGGGCATACGAAGGGATTCCTCCTTAGCTTTCTTGCCTGAGAGTGGCTTCCCCGGAGACCATGGAACTACAGATACATTTCCCCCAGAGAAGTCTCAAAATAGGAAATCTCTTACTATCTTGACTACCATGGGCCACATTACAAAGCACTTCTTGAGATGACCGGGTTCTTTGGAAATCATCTTTTCACCCATTGTCCTGGGCCTTGCTGATCCTTTCCAGATAGAAACCCTTCACTGCTGAAAAAGTTCTTGGGAAGAAGTCTCTGGCCTTCCTCTCTTTGCCAGGAAGTCCTTCAGTGTTGGGACTCACTTGGCAGAAAGTGTTTTCTGAGTGAGGAGGCTGTGGGCTAGAAATAAACATAAAATATGTGACCAGCAGATGGTGTAATGGCTATGTTGCTGGACTCCCACATAGTGGACCGTGGTTCAAGTCCTGGACCTGGTGTTTTATTCTCATGCATGTGTGTGTGCGCCCAAGATCCCGAGAGGAGAATGGAGGAGAAGGGATTGCGGTGTGGCCATCCCCTCTGGGGGGTGATTTCTCGCTTTCTGTCTCTCTGTCTCTGTCTGTCTTTCCAGTGAGCACACACGCCCTATAGCAAAAGCCTCTCTTTAAAAAGAAGAAAAAAGAAAGAAACATAAAATAAACACACAAAGACCTACAAGCATAGAAAAGCAAGGATTGGGTGGGCCCGACTTTCCTGATGGAGATAGCTGTGACTCTGAATCAGTCCCAGGTTTGTTTATTTATTTAAAGAATCACTTATTTTATGGGGCTGGCAGGTGTCGTGGTGGTTAAGGATGCTGGACTCCCACATGGCTGACCACGACTTAAGTCCCGGACCTGGCAGCTTGCTTTGTCACTTTCCCTCTCTCTCGCTCTTTCTCACTCTGTCTCTCTCTGGTCAAATAAAAATAAATACACGAATAAATAAAATTAAATAAAATAATTATTTTAAACACAACTCTAAAAAAAAGAATCACTTATTTTAATTTATTTATATTTATTATTTTTAAATTTGACCAGCAAGAGACAGAGAGGGAGAGAAACAGAGAGAAAGGGAAAGTGAGAAAGCAAGCCACCAGGTCCAGGACTTGAACTACAGTCAGCTATGTGGGAGTCCAGCACCCCAACTACTGCTCCACCTGCCAGCCCCCCAGGTTTATTCTTTTTTTTTTTTAAATGACTTTATTTAATTTTATTTATTCATTCATTTATTTTAATTTGACCAGAGAGAGACACACACACACACACAGATAGAGAGTGAAAGTGACCTGAACCATGGTCAGCCATGTGGGAGTGTCCAGCACCTCAACCACCGTGCCACCTGCTGGTCCCCATCCAGGTTTATTCTTTTAAAGGGCAGAAAATAGGGGAAGGGGAAGTGGAAAAGTGGAAAGCAAAGCAAGTTGTTTTCAGATGTTCAATGACTGAAGAGGTGAAGACACCTGACACCATGCAGTTTCTCTGATCTTTTGCAGCCAGTTCTGATAAACACATGTGACTTCCTTTATACTTACACTGCTCTGCAGTTTCGATAACAGGAAGCTAGCATATTTACATGTAAACTGCTTTTAAAAAATTTATTATCGGGCAGCCGGCAGATGGCATGGTGGTTAAAGGTGCTGGATTCCCACATGAGTTACCACAGTTCAAGTCCTGGACCTGGCAGCTTGCTTTCTTACTTTCTCTCTCTCTCTCTCTGTCCCTCTCTGGTCAAACAGAAATAAAATAAATGAATAAATTAAAAAAAGAATTCTTTATTAAAAAATTATTATCATTATTATTATTTTTAATTTGACCAGAAAGAGACAGAGAGAAAGGGAAAATGACAAAACAAGACACCAGGTCTGGGACTTGAACCATGATTGGTCATGTGGGAACCTTAACCACTGCCCCCAGTTGCCAGCCCCAAGCACTGTGGGTTCTAAGGTTTCCCCAAACCATAGGGATTCTAAGGTTTCCCCAAACCAGGCTTAAATATTCACTAAGACTTATAGACCTCAGAAAACCTATTGTACTCTGGATCACAGGTTGTCACAATGAAAAGAAACATGAAAATCAGCAAAGGGAAAAGGTGCACAGGAGAAGTCCAAGAGAAACCAGAGACAAGCTTCCAGGTGTCTGTTCCCAGTGGAGTTGTAAGGACATAAATTTAATTCTCCCAGCAACAGTGTGTGTGACAACACACGTGATGTACTGCCAACCAGAAGAATTCACTTAAGCCTTGGTGTTGGCATTGTGGTTGACGGGGACCTTGTCCTGCATAAGGTAAATCCATAGCTCACACAGTAGCCGGTACGGTCTTCAGGTCCCAGAACTCAAACAGTGTGGCACATCCCAAATCAGGAAGGCTATTCTAAGGAGTCAGCAGCTGCCTGCCAAGAATCAGTCCTCCAGAAGTCTCACAGCCTGGGCTGCTGAGTTAACCCATTACGGCACAGGATTGTACAGTAATTCAGATTTTGCTTAGCATGTTCTGAAACGACTTGATAGGAATATGCTGTGTTTTCTCCAATGATTCATGGTGACCAGAAACTATTTTTTTTTCACATTTTATTAATTCACCAAAGATCTTAATTAATCTAAATACTTTCAATAATGCAACTGATATTCACATATCTATGAACACATGTCTGACATCAGGCATAAACCTCAGTGAGTAGAATGAACATACTATAAAGTACCACCTAGCTGGGGTTATATAGCTTAGTGCAGTCATTAAATATATATGTATATATATATATATGTATATATATATATACATATATATATAATTTTTAATTTCAAGAAAAACAGTTTTGGGATCAGCAGATGGCATAGTGGTTATGTCACTGGACTCCTGTTGCTAGTCCTGTAGCCAACCACAATTCAAGATCTAGACTCAGTGGCTTAAAACTCACCATGGGCATGTATGCGTGTGTGCCCGAAATCCCAAGAGGAGAATGGAGGAGGAGGGATTGCAGCATGGCCATCCTTCTGGGGGGTGATTTCTCACTTTCTGTCTCTTTGTGTCTCCAGTAAGCTTAAGACCTAAAGCCAGGACAAAGGTTAGGATTCAGCTCAAACAGTAGGTAGATGAACCTAAAAACAGTTCAAGAGAAGACAAAAATCCTTAAATCTGGAAAACAAAGCATAAAAGAAAATCAGTAATGTTTTAGTCAAAAGTCATAAAATTCTATTTTACCAGTTCAGTCTCTTGTAATTAGATCTCTTTTGTTGAATTTGCCTTGTTACTGTGGTCCGATCTTTCCGTTTTAATTCTGGAAGTTAACATTCAACATGGTTATTAATCTTTCCTGACTTTTCCCTACCATTAAATTGGCCGTTCTCTTGGTTGTTTTTTGTACACTTATTTCTGTGTGTCTGACTTTAGATTTCCTGGTATAGCACTCCCTTCAGAACTTCTTGGAGAGCTGGTTTGGTGTTGGTAAACTCTTCCAGGTTTTGTTTATCTGAGAATGTTTTTGTCTTTTCTTTCCATATGAAGGATAATCTTGCTGGGTATAGTATTCTTGGTTGAAATCGTTTTTCACTTAACGCTTCCAATGTATTTTCCCTTGCTTGTTAGTTTCCAATGAGAGGTCCGATGTTAGCCTGATAGGATATCCTTTGAAAGTAACTTGACATTTCTTGCCAATTTTAGTAACTAGTCTCTGTCTGTGGTTTTGGTCTATCTGGCTATGACATGCCTTGGAGAAGATCTTGGATTGATTTTATTTGGGGTCCTTTGTATTTCTTGGGTCTGGATATTTGAATGCCTCTCTAGGTTTGGAAAGTTCTATTCTAGTATTTCATGGAATAGATTATCAATGCCCTTATTAGTTTCTTCACTCTCTGGAATACCAATTATCTGGAAGTTAGAGTGTTTAATGGTACCTAGTATTACTTGTATGTTATTCTCTCTCTCTTTCTCTCTCTCTCTCTCTTTTTTATTTTCTCAGTCTTCTTGGTGAATTTTTCTAGATCAGAGGTTCTGTCTTCTACATCTGAGATTCAATCTTCTGCATGATCGAATCTGCTTTTAATACTTTCAAGCGAGGTTTTGATTTCCTGTATTACAGCCTTCATCTCTAACAGTTCCATTGGATTCTTTTTTATGCTGTGCATTTCCTCTTTCAGATCATGCAAGAACTTCTTACCTCCTGGAACTCATCTCTTTTCTCCTGCATCTTCTGGAGTTTTTTATCTCTCTTCTCTTGCATCTCTATCAGCTTTGTCACTATGAATATTCTAAATTACTTTTCTGACATTCCTATGCGCTCCACTGTATTGTCTGTGGAGAATGAGGAGTTATTCTTTTCCCTTGAAGGAGAGATATTCTCTTGGCTTTTTATATATCTTGTGCCTCTGGGGTGGTTTTGGGTCATTTGATGGATTATACATTTTTTCCTAATTTTTGGAGTTAAATCCGAGCATTCAGAGGTGTGCAGGAGGAGGTGATCTGCAATCTCCTTGCAGTACCGTTTTTCTCCTTTGCAAAGCAGATTCTGTGGGAATTGAGGATTACTCTGACCCTGGCAAGATCTTGGCATCAGGAGGGTAAAGTCTGGAGAGAAAAATCTCAGTTTCTCTAGTCCCTGAAGTGGGCCACTCAGAGCTCAGATGTAGATGACTTATGATTGGTCTGTCCTCGTGAGATCTTGGGGTCG